GCTAGCTGAGATTGCAGTTCATCCGCATTGGCCTGCAGTTGCTCACGCTCACAGCACACTGAATCCAACTTAGATTGCAGTTCATCTGCATTAGCTGCAGGTTCAACTAGGTTACCCTTGTTATTTTCGGAAGCATCGCAGTTTATGGATTCTTGGTTTTTCATTATTTCATGTTGAGTTTGAGAAAGTTTTACACGTAATTCTTGAACTTCTTGGAGGCTCGCGTTCTTATCCTCCATAATTGCTGTTATCTGCTTTTGAAACTGATCCTCTAATGCCTTGCGCGTGTTTCTTTCATTTGTGAGTTCTTGTTCAAGTTGTTTTACTTTTGTTTCTTGCTCCTGTAACGCTGTGCTTAATTCATGCTGAGGGGTTGTAGAAATAGAATCTGTGCTGTTGCGACGTGTAAGGGATGGTGTTTGTTGTGTAGAGATACGTGAGAACCTTTTTTTTTGCTTTTCGATAATGTCGAAGCATCTTGGACAGACTGGCTGTGGTTTATTACTGTAATGCCCTGTAATGGAGTCGCATGTTATTGAACATTTGGAGCACATAACAATTCCACAACGACGGCAATTGATCTTGCTGCTAAATATACCGAAGGATGCCCCACAATCTTGATATTGGCAATACTTTATCTTGGATGGTTGTTGCCATTCTTTTTCAGGTAGTACACCTGTGACAGACATGATGTCTTCTTTTTTACTTTCTTTGTACAAGAAAACTTTAGTGCAATAAAAACAGTAGTGAAAAATAGGACCAATAAAAAAAAAAGGAAAAAAATAAATTGTTGAAGTAATAGTCTGTTTTTTTTTTTNAACTTTAGTGCAATAAAAACAGTAGTGAAAAATAGGACCAATAAAAAAAAAAGGAAAAAAATAAATTGTTGAAGTAATAGTCTGTTTTTTTTTTTGAGGCTGTTGGTATTTTTTTTTAATGTACCCCATTTATGTTTATGTCGTGAATAAAAATGAAGCTATATTTCAACATTTGTATCTCTATTTCCTGATCTTGGAAATAGTATCACTGCTGTCAACTACTCCATTCTGTTTCTTTAACCACTCATCGTAGTCAACCAGACGAAGATGTTTCAGTTCTGCACTGTAAAATGCAGACTCACTAAAAAGAATAATAGTTGTGAGTAGGACAAAGGGAAAAAAAACAAAAAATGAGAATTTTGTTGCCCTCCTCATAGCATGTTCCAAGTCTTCTTCCTGCAGAGTTCGCAAGTATTGTATACCATCGTTAAGTCGTATTAAATCCGATTGCATGTGTTGTAAGAGTTCATTTCGATGACGCCATATTTCATAAGCATATGCGTATCGCTTGGCATCCTCATATTCTTTTGCTGATGTCATGGAAGAGGGGCCTGTTGCTCGTGAAATACGAGGAAAGTAGTCTGATTGGGGTTTCTGAGAAAAGTTTTGCTCATGTTGGCCAACCTCAGCGTGTTCACAGTCAAGTCGCTCCCGCACTATTGGTGGAACACCCATTCCGTTGTTTGCCCATCTTGTTGAAGATGTAGTCGACAACTTTACATCAGGAAAAAGGGATTGTAGATCAGGAAATAAATCTCTCGCAGTAAGCGTCTTTTGTGTTTCCGAATTGCAGAATGTTAAAGGTAAGGAAGAGGATGGAGTATTCATCATTGTACATGCTGATGATGATAATGGTGGAGGAGGTGGTGGTGGTGATGGTGGTGGTGCTAATGGTGATGCGGTGGACTTCCTCTGATTTCCTCTAGATCGTACGGGAAGAAAATTCTCCATTCCCTTGAAACCCTCTGAAAAGAGCGATGTCACCCTTTCACTCCAGGACGACGTAGATGCCGCAGGAACAACACCGGCATGGACACTTTGTACATGATAAGATCTGATTGACTTTACGTGTACGACGCGATGTAATGGTAGTGATGGTAACAGTCGCACTAAGAATGACCCCCGGGGCACTACTCCAAAGCGACGCATGGGTAAGGAGATAATGCAGATCGTGCAGCACGCAGCTGCTTATGGTGTGCCGTTTCACACACCCTAGTTTTGCTTTTTCTTTGTTTTTTTTTTTATTTTTTATTTGGTGGTGGTGAGGGAATAAGTCCACAAGAAGTTACATCATTTCGAATGTGCAAAAAAAAAAAAAAAAAAAAAAAAAAAGAAAACAAGAGAGAAGAAAAAAAACACGGAAAAGTAGACTTTTTACACCAAAACTCAATATAATAGTACAAATAAAAGCAAACACATTGGTGGGTAAAACCATTATTTTATTGTATGCTTCCTGATGTGAAGCTCAGAAAACAAAATTAAATAATAAAAAAGAGAAAGCAAAAAAAAAAAGAGATAACATCAGTAGGAACTCCCATTACTCTTCAAGTATCAACCGTGTCATCGCCACTTCCGTTCGTTCTACTTCTGTTTACTTGCTACCGGCGTTCTTCTTGGCGTGTGAGCGAGCAGTGACGGTGATCTTCTTCACGGATGGGTGAATAGAGCGCTCGATCTTGTCAGCCTTCTTCTTGTCGGCGATGACGAGTGTGTACAGATAGCGGCTGCAGCGCACCTTGAACTTTGTCTGCTTGTCGTTGTGCTTCACCTTCACACAGCGGGCATCCTTGCGGGAGCAGATGGTGAGGAACTCCTTCAGGTTCTTGATTTCACGGGGCATATTTCAAGACGGTATCTCTCCTACATAAGAAAGAAAGAATAGAAGAAAAAATAATAATGGGTCAGCAAAGAAGAATAATAACAAAAACAAAAAAAGAAAAAAAAAACTACAACAATAATAACCAAAAAAACAGGAAGAAAAAAAAAAACCAAACAGTAGATATTTGTCTCTAGATATTTTGATGGAGACATATGCCGCCACGCATTCATCCTCTGCGGAGAGAAGCGGAAATGGGGCGACAGGGCAGGGCGCGAAACCCAAACAAGAATAACAATAATAACAATAATAATAACAAAAATCATAACAAGAAAATCAGACAAAGCCTGTGTATGGAGTCCAGAAGGAAGGCTCATGATCACGTGAGGTCTCCCCACCATGTTGCTGGTGGCCAAAGACCGTCATCAGTTTCTCCGCTTTTCTGCAAAGAGTGGATCTGAGCTTGCGGTATCGTCTGTGAAGAGCTTGCTGGAGTAGACGCCCTTCCCTGCGTATGAGGGGACGTTGAGGAAGTCCGGGTCCTCCATCTGCCGCCGCGGCTTGACGAGAAATCGCTCCCCCCGCAGCCGCCCGGACTCCCGCGCGGCCGCCTCACTTTCCGCGTCGAGCAGCCGCTCCGCCGCCGCCTCCCGCTGCGAGAGCCACACGACGAGGCGGTTGTACGCGACGAAGAGAAAGAGACCGCCGCCGACGGCGAGCAGCGGGCGCCGGAACTCCTCCCACGCGAGGAAGAAAAGCCCCGAGAGCCGCACGTTGCCGGCGGCGTCGTACAAAATGCGCCGCTGCCGCTCGCGGGTGATGCGCTGCTGCTCCCGCCCGCTGTGCTGCTGGTGGCCGCCGAAGCGACGAGGACCACAGCGACGCAACATGGCGGGGAACAAAGAACCAAGAGACTAGGAAAAAAGAAAAAAAAAAAACCCAAACACAATGTCTTAACTACAACACTTCTCTAGTACTGATCCAACAACGTGATCACGGTAATAGTATTAACAATGATGATGTTGATAACGGGAAAAAAGAAAGAAAAGAAAAAAAAAAAATAGGACGGAGGTGTCAACCAAAAACAAAACAAAAAAAAACAAAAAACACGCACAAAGACATAAAGAGAGAAATAAAAAGGAAAACACAAATGTAAAAGCTTCTGGACACCATTTGATAAAGAAGGTGGAAGGCAATCAGAGGGAAAATTGATTTTATCATGAAAGGTGAACTGTTCCTTTTTATTTTTGTTTTACCTCCCCCAATGGTAAGTAACTGTTAATTTTCTCTTTCTTTTTTTTTTTTTTTTTATTAATGCACTTGTTTTTCCCAATCGCAGGAATTTAGAAAAAAACTCTTGAAAGAGAAATAACACTACTTTTTTTTTTTTTATTGCAAATGTGTGTGTGTATTGTGTCTGTATGTGTGCACACAGTAACATTACGTAATGAAGGTCGTGAATCTGTCATTGATATGGTGATGTTGATGGTTTTTTTTTTTTTTTTTTTTTTTACCAAAACGCAGTGATGGATTAAACCAACAGAGACACTTCAAACTGTTATGGTTCTTTTCTCCACGTCAAGCAAATCATCTGATCATCTTTAACTCAAAAACGATTCATGATAGAGGTGAGTTAAGTTGAGAGTAAGGAACAACCATCATGAAGAAAAAAAAAGAGGAAAAACTCCATGGAAAAGCTGGAAAAAATCATCCACGTGCCGTCATATGGTTGAACTAAACCCAATAGTTCTGACATTCCCTGATATTCCCTTATATTATTATTGACATTGGAAATGGATATCAACTTATAAGAGCATCTCGTTATCGCACCATTAACTCCTCCTTCCTTACCTTTTTTTTTTCTTTCTTTTTAGTTCACTCACCTTCTTTTCTCTACGTCTTATGTCAGTAATGGAAAGAAAAACAGCAATCAGAAATATGGAAGAAGATGTTTAAACACAGAAAAGTGTCACTTGAGAGTTCCCTCTCTTTCTCTCTCTCTCTCTCTCTCACGCTCACAGAGAGTGTGAAGATATGTAATAAAAACAAATAAATATGTAATAGAACGCCAATTGCGTTAATATTATGATATCAAACGGAATTGCATGCCTCTACCGTATGCAGAACGTGCCAAGCAGCGATAGAGTATGTAAAACACCTTACCAATAAAAAAAAAAGACCCAGCAAAGTACAACAAACAAGAACAAGAACAACAACAAGAACGGCAACGAATAAAAAAAAAAAAAAAAGCATGCAATATTGTCAGAGAATTCCCAGCAAAGTGAGAACAAACATGTCAGTCTCCTGCTGTGGTAGCATTCTCTTACATCCTTCTCTCCCCAGACATACAGAAATATATACAATCCTATCACCATATCTCCTGTGCACCCCTCCACTCTTCTCACCATTAAAAGAGATGATGGGATACATGTTTTTTTCTTTTTTTTTTTTCTGTGTTATTACCCTTCAGAGAAAAAAAAAATTTTTTATATAATGATACTCACAGAGTTTCTACACTAAAAGAAATGATACAGGTACATTCCTTTTTTTCTTTTGTTGATGCACTCTTTGTGGTATTCGCTTTCATCCTTCACACCTTTGATCCCAAGAAAAATACAACTGCTCTAAGCTACCTTATCTATCTCATTCAACGTTTAAAGTGTTCTTTCCTTTTTTCAGAGTAAGGAATAAACCGCATATAGGGTATTCAATAATACAAACAAAACAAAACAAAACAAAAAAACGAAAATACCAACCAAGAAGTAAAGAGGCAGAAAAAAGATATTTTCTTTTTTAAAGTATCAGGGTAAAGTAAAAAAAAAATATATATATATATATATATATATATATATATAATAAATAAACAATGAGCAGCAAGGAAAAATCGCAGGAAAAAAATCTCTGTCTTTGAGCGGACCTCACAACCCATATTTCCGTTTATGTTCCAGCTTTTAAACAAATTAGTTTTGCTATATAAATATATATAAAAATCTTTTTCACCGCCCATTCTTCTTCAAACGTGAGAGATTTCCCCTACCCTGATGATGGAGGCGATGAGCTATTTTCTTTCTCTACTAAATCTTTCTTCTCATGCGTTCAAGGAAACAAAACTCATAAACTGGGATCTCATTAGGAGTGAGTGAAGAAAGGAAAAAACAAGGAGAGGGGTGGGAGTGTTATCACAAACACAATAAAGAAAAAAAAAAAAAAAAACTAAAAAACAAAAAAAAAAGATGTACAAAAAAAAAAAAAATTGGAGTTACAAATCCTCCTTGAAAAGTTCATTTATCAAATCCTTATATCGAACGTCAATCACACGTCGTTTTAATTTCATAGCCGCTGTCAGTACATCATTCTCAGGAGTCCACTCATCCCCCAACAACTGCACATTCTGTACTATCTCAAAACTTTTACGTCCAGCCTTTCGCGCTGTTTCCTGGAATGACTCAATTGCCTTTTTACGAAACTCTGGATCCCGAAGAATATCAGGAAATTTACCAGAAATATGATTCTTCTTTGCAAACTGCATTGTAAGATCTCCTGTCGTAATTGCAATAGCGGCAATATAACTTCGTCCAGGATGAACCAGTACACAAACCCCATTTGGTGTACAAAGATCATTCTGGGAATATATAGATTCTAGTACTTCCAACGCAATGTATTCACCATTAGAATTCTTCGCAAGAGCCTTAACACGACCCACAATACTCAAGGTCCCATTTTCTGTAAAACTTCCCACATCACCAGTATGGAACCAACCATCCTCATCAATAGACTCTTTTGTGAATTCATCCTGTTTGTAATATCCCTTAAAAAGAAAAGGTCCACGTAACAAAATCTCACCACGTGGTTCAGGTTTATCAGTGTGACGGTACTCAGCCGTGTCAAGCAGTCGAACTTCAACAGATTTGAGTATCTGTCCAACATTATCATATTGAAGGTTTCCTGTTCGTTGAATTCCACCACAACAAACAGTTTCTGTCAGTCCCCATCCTTGTATAATCATACCAAAGATAACATTAATAAATTCTTGTGTTGAAGGGCTCATTGGACCTCCTCCAGATAGCATTACACGTACCTTACCACCCATCGCTTGACGAGGTTGTGCAAATACTTTTTGATTATAATATGGTGTATCTTTCCCTTCCTTAAGGGCCTTAAGTCGGGATTGATAAGCATGATCAAACACCGTTCGTTTAAATGAACCAGGTGGGGGTAATTTTGCTTCCACAGCCTTCTTTATGGTATCAAAAATACGTGGAACGGCAACAACAATAACAGGACGGTATTCAGCAAAATCTCCATGAGGTTTCGCAAAATTGTTTGTTAGTGTACGTGGATTTCCAAAACCAATAACACAACCACGATTAAAGAGAACTGTCACCACTCCAAGTTCCATGATATGAGCGAGGGGTAAATATGCGCAATATGTCTCTGGTTCAGTCACTTCTCCTAAAAGATCTAGTACACGGTGACTTAAAGCCTTAAAACCACTTCCCAAAGTTCCATGTGTGTGTTTAACACCCTTTGGATTTCCCGTTGTTCCACTTGTATACATGACAAGTGAAAGGTCATCACAGTTTTCAGGTCCTGGAATATTTACTAGTGCTTTACTACTGGTCTCACCCTTTTTCATCACATCAACCCAGCTATAGACCTGAAAACCTGTTGTGTCTGTATCCTTTGGAAGATCATCAAGATATATAATTAATGTATTCGAAACGCCAGAATTTTTCATTAATGAAATGAGTTTTTTGACATTTTTTCCATTACATACAATAGCTCTGCATTGAGATTCTTGTAACGCATAAATAAGAGCATCCTCACCCAAGTTAGCATATACTGTTGCGGCTACCATTTGACATGACCAAATGGCTTGAACGGTACAATACCATTCCCAACGTGTATCCTCATATATTCCAATAAATTCTCCTTTTTGTAGTCCAATCTCTGTGAGTCCTTTAGCCAAACTCTGAACCCTATGTAAGAGCTCAGTGTAAGTAATACTGCGAGGTTTGGGTTCAAAAACATACGTTTCAAGAGTTTTTTTATTTCCATATTTATCTGTCACAGTGTTACGCTCCACTTCTTTTAGGAGACGATACAACATAACTTTCCTATTTCCCCGCTCCTTACATAGTCTAGCGAAGCACTGCGGTGGTGTTTCACCATGGTAGTAATCATGAACAAGTTTTTTATGTTCCTCTTCAGATGTACCAACCATACGATAGATCGGAGATGCATTAGCTTTTTCCGTTCCAGGTACAGGCTCTGCTTGTTTCTTTAGCCGCATAAAAGACTGATATTCTGGAAAATCAACGACACTCCACTCATTTCTCTTATCCAGCACAGATGCCACACACCCTCCCATTTTTCACTAGGTTTTTCTTTCTTTCTTTTTTTTTTTCTTTCCTATGAAGAAAAGATAAAACAAAAAAGCGCAAAAAGTTTATAAATTATTTTTTCCTTGTTTTTTTTTTCTCTTTTACAACTTTTTTTTTCTCGTTTTGATGCACCACTCCTTGGTTTTACTTTTCGCCTTCTTCTTGTTTTCTTCTCTCTCTCTCTCTCTCTCTCTCTCTCTCTCTCTCTCTCTCACTCTCTCTTATTTTTTCTTCCCTTACTTTGAGATAGTGTTGCTGAGTGTTGCGCAAAACACCAGTCAGACGTTACGATTTTCACAACAACGTGAAAGTGTGTTGCCATACAACGAAAGATAAAAAAAGAAAAAAGAAGAAAGAAGTGAAAAGTGTTGAACCCAAACAAGCGTCTCCAAAAACAAAACAAAATAACTCAATAAACAAAATGAATAAAAAAAACAACAAAAATACACACAGTGTGACGAGGGATACACCGAAGATATTTATATGCTGTAAAACTAGTCTGGTGTCATACCGGGGTAGAGCGTCACGTGTGGTCCTAAGAAGCGGCCGGCGCGGTTCCACGTTGGTGGGATCCAAAAGATGCGTCGGCCCTGCAGAATGGTGTGCGGCGACATGATGTTGCCGCGTCGTCGTCGCTCGAGTGTCTGCTGTGCGGCGCGTGAGAAGAACTTGAGTCTCGGCTCGAGCGAGAGTCGCTCCTCGAACTGAAAGAGCGGCGGGAATCCCCAAGGCGTCATCGCCTCCGACCGCTCCACAATCCGCTGGTACAACTCAAAATACGACGCCATCGGCCGGCGCGTGAGGCCCATCCGCCGCATGACGTCCGCCGCGGCGCTGATGCCCGCCAGCCGCGTCGCTGCGCCCGCCTCGAGTTGCCGCGCCGCCACCGCGCGATACGCCGGACTCCGCACCGCCGACTCGTAAAAGCGGAAGGCCGTCCGCTGCGTCATTTCGCCCGCCGCCACCGCCTCCGCGAGGGTCCGCAGGTGGTGGTACACAAGACGCGAGCGCACATCGCCGGGGTTCAGCACAGACATCGCCGTGTGGCACAGCCATACAAACATATCATCATTCTCCGAAAGCGCATCATACACCTTCTTGAAGCGGCGACCAGAGATGAGTTGATCGTAAGAGGCGCCTTGGATAAACTCTACGAGGGCTTCAAACTCCGTATCCCCGCGAGACATCAGCTCTCGCCGCGACCGCTCACCCTCAAGATTCTTAGGAATATCCTGTACCTCACGCATCGCCTCACCACCGGAGGAAAACCTCGCCTTCTGTTTCTCCTTTAGAGGATCCGTTGTGAAAGCGGCCTTAATAAAGTGTGCGGGAAAGTTGGGCGTTGGTTGAATTGGCACAATCACACGCCGCTTCGCCGCGAACATGGATTTGTCGCGCAGAATGCAGCAACATCGCAACATGGGCTACTAGTGTATGCAAATATTATGTATACCTGATTCTCTCTCTCTCTCTTTCTATCTGTGACTGTGTGTGTGCGTGTGTCTGTTTATATATATATATATATATATATATATGTGTTCGTATGCTCCTAGGTGTGAATAACAATAATAATATGTTTGGAAGAGGTCACACACAGAAAACTAAACAAAAAATAAAATGTTTTCTTCTGTTTCTTTATTGGTTTTTACCTGTTTGTATTTCTTTTTTCCCCTTTCCGTCCCTCTTTCTACTCCTCTTCCGTGTTTCTTTAACTAGAGGAGTAGCGCTCGCGCAGAAGGGAGAGCAGCGCAGAGACGGTTCACTATCCCTATAACGGAACAATATGAGAAAAAAAAAAGTAAAATAGGAAAAACAGAACAAAGAAAATAATGGGAATTACATAAAAAAAAAAAAGCAAAAAAAAACAGATATGTCTAACACGGCAATAACATTTATATATATATATATATATATATATGTATGTATAGGAATCGGAAAATACTTCTGATCGCTCACTATCTTTTCTTCGAAACCCAGGTAAAGTTTAAGCTTCATCCTCACTTATGAGGAGTTCCTCAGAGAATAATGGAACAAGTTCTTCAATCTTCTGCACTACTTCCTCCATAGAGAGGGAACTACTTGATGAAAACTGTGGTGTTGGTTGATGATCGTCCTGTGCTGCAATCATCTCATCAATAAACTCACGACATGGTTGAAACCATGGATGCCTGAGGGCCTCATCAGCTGTTGGACGATCACGTGGGTTAAATGAGAGCAGTTTTTCTGCAAGATCGATAACAAGTGAGTTTTCCCCATCTTTTCCTTGTAATAGTGGTGAGTGAGAAAGAACTTCACGTAATATGGATTTGCATTGACGTCTTTCTATTACTGATAAAGCGTAGTTTTTGGCATTAACAGATGCACGAGCAAAAGGTTGTCCTTGATCAAAGACGGATGATGATGGTGTACCTACCAGATGAAAGATAAGGTTCAGTTGATCTGCAGAGTCATTGGATTTACCCGGGAATAAATAACGACGAAGTAGCAGTTCACACACAATCACTCCAACACTCCAAATATCATTTGCAGCATCGTATTCAGCGTCAAGAATAATCTCAGGAGCACGATACCATTGAGTGACGACACCAAAGGAAAGTTGTTCATCAGGGTCAAAGAAACGACTAAGACCAAAATCACACACAAAAACCTGTGAATTGTAGTTAATGAGTATATTACGTGTAGACAAGTCACGGTGTAAGACTTTACAGCGATGCATTGCGCGGAGGGCAAGTAGCATTTGACAAGTTATATATCGAATAACATTCTCTTGAAGAGGAATGGATTTATTCTTTATAACTGTTGAAAGATCTGAAGGGACGTAATCCATTACCATGTACACATCCTTTTCACGACTCGTTGGTCTAAATAACAAGCGACATCCCACTACTTGTTCACAAAACTGTAAATTCTGTAATATTTCAATTTCCCGCAAAACACGACGTGCTGTCTCTTCACTTTTTGCGTAGTTTGGAATTTTTTTAATGGCAATTTTATCATTTTCGTAGACGGCCTTACACACCGCACCATATGATCCTTGCCCAATAATAGACTCCACCCTGAAAACAGGTGGAACGTCAAAAATAAGAGGTGTGCTATTATGCATAAGAATATCTCTCTTGTTATTTGTTTGTATCTTTTCTTTTTAATTATTTTCTTCCTCTCTGTTCTTCCTTTACTATGTATTTAATGTACTCTTTTACTCTATGTCTAAACACTTCAAAGAGACAATCCCCACCATCTACACACAAACACACACACACACATGCGGAAAGAGTAAAAGAGAGAGAAAGGTAGAGAGAGAGTGAGAAAAAAAAAAAAAAAAA